GGACAGGCCAATGCCACACTGCACTGAATAACTGCACCAAGTGCTGTGCAACTTCACGATAACCCTCTGAAGCAGGGTTTTTATTATTTTCCAGAAACTGGAGCTGAAAGAGGTTGAGTCATGTGTTCAGAGTCTACAGCCAATAGGTAGAAAAACCACAACTGGGCACAGGGGTACCTGACTTCCCAGCCCTCATGTTGTTCCAGGCTAACACTCCACCTTCCACATTCTATGCATAAACCACCATTTCCTGAGAAAGCTAACCTACCAGACAACTTGTGCTTGTCAAACATGTATTGCTGTATTTGTTTGGAATCAACACTGAATCTCTCGGGAAATAGTCCTTCCTGAAATTAATGAGATTTTATGACATGAGAACACATTCAGATGAAATGAAGGTTTTGTGATGTTGGAAATTACCATAGAAAGGTGCCTAAAAGCCTTTGGGGTTAAGTTTCAGTTCAATAGATTTGGAAGCCGATATGATCTGTATGCAAATCTAACCCCCCAAAAGGCTTGCAGGTTAAGAGTCATACTTGAGGATACAACATGACTAAAACTTGATGTTGTATAAGTACATTTTTGCCTACTTTTTAAATAATTTACATTATTCAACTATTATTAAAGTTTTTTTTTTGTTTGTTTGTTTGTTTGTTTTGTCTTTTTCGGTACCAGGGATCGAACTCATGACTGCCTGCTTGCAAGGCAGGCACTTATGCCGCTGAGCTAAACCTCCAGCCCCTATTAAAGGTTTTAAAAGCACAATTGTATAGCATTAACAACCACTCCACAAACATTCATGTTGCATATAGTTGCCTTCTTAAAATCCGAAGCCACTCCCATTTTATTTATCTAGTGCTGTGTTTGTTCCAAAGTGAACTGAAAATAGCTGAACTCATCCTCATGGTAACTTGAGTGGAATCTCCCAATGGGCAGCAGCCCTGGGTACTACATGCGCCCCTGGGGGCAAGTTCCCCAGTGAAGAGGGAGATGGGGATTCACTCCACAAGGCTGTGGGGAGGTTTCAATCCACTAACATATGAAAGGACCACAGCCTCCTGCATACAAGGATCGGGGTGTGATCTGTACTGAGGTTGACATAGCCTCGGGAGAAGCACAGAGTGGATAGAAAGACAGACACCTTTCAGCTTGCCCTACTCTGAAGCTGAGTGAGTTTGAAGAAACTCACTCAGAACCTGATTCTCCATCTCTCCTCTGAAAACCTGTATCCCTTTTCTTCAACTGAGACATGGTTAAAACCTTGATTCTCAAGGAAAAAGCATAAATGCATCTAATCAACCACCCACTTCTTTGGGGAGGGTGATAGGTTTCACTGTCAACCTTCTGGAATACATTCTGCAGCTTCTGTGACAGATACAATTGGGATGTCCTTTGGGAAGACCAGCCAGCATTTCCCTGGGGAGGTCAAAACTTGATCATGTGAGTTTCCCTAGAGCTAGGGAGATGCAGGAAAAGAACAAATAGAATAACATGAAAACTACAATGCTAACTTACCAATAGAAAGTTTCATATGTGTCCTTAGGTCCTGACAACTGAACTGACTAACAGCTCTTTCTTTCCATACAGGAAATCTATAAATAGGAAGCTAAATTATAACCAATACATGCTGGAACAGCCCAGGCAGAAGGACCAGCCTCCACCCTCTAGGAAGCACATCACCTTCTCTGAAGAAGACTGAAAAACACCCAGATTCCTCCTCTCCAGTTCTCATTTTTCCAGATTTCCGTGTGCCTATCCACCCTCCGCAGTGACAGTCTTTCTTTAGATATGCTAATATCACCTATTAGACAACTCAGGTCCCACTCTTCCTGCCTTAAAGCTGAAAGAAACAGACATCTTTTACGATGTCTTCTGCAGAAAGCTGAGCTCTATTATGGGGATTTTTCTTAAGCCAGAACTGAGTTCTGACCCGGCACCCCATTATCACCTTCTTGTTCTTAATCTTCACTTGGATATTATTCTCTATCACATCTACTGACCTCTTTACACTTTTCCCTCTTCTGTATTTCACTAGTGCAACTGATACAACCTGTCCACTTCTTGAGTGTTTTCCCCTTCATTGCCTTTAATGGAATTGAGTTCTGCTGGTTCTGCTCATGAGGCTTAAATTGCTCTGTAGCAGTAGCGATGGGTCCCAGTCCACCTCCTAGAATCAGGCACACCTAGACCCAAACCCCTGCTCTATTCCTTACTAGCTAAGTGCCCATGGGAAGATTACTGAACTTCTCTCCAGGCCTTTCTCCTCTACTCTGAAACAGACATAACAACAGAATTGGCCAGTAAGTGTTGGCACAATAAGCTTACTGTGACACAAAGTAATCACTAAATAAACACTAACAATCTTCTCTGTGTTCCTATTTCTTAGCTTCTGGTACTCTATCTTTACACCCCACACTTCTCTCTGGTAGTACTGAGAACTGAACTCAGGCCCTTCACATTGAGCTGCATATATCCTTAGTCCTTAAAAACAAAGCTTCACAGGGTCTAAGTCACCCAGGCTGGGCTCAACCTTGCCATCTTCCTTGGCGTCTGCAATACTATACGTTCCATATTTTTCTTCTCTACCTTCTTACCTTAGGACCACTTAGAAAATGGTATACACTTACAGAGCCAACCAGAGTGATACCACCTTAATGTCCTCTTAAAAGTGTATGTACACAGACCATGAGTCCCAAAGAAACAATAAAAATCCTGTGTTGCTAGGACTGCAACAAGGCATTTGGCCAGGTCTTTATTATGCCCATCAAGGACAGAGAAATGTAAGATGTACTTAAGAGGATGCCCACAGCCTTAACTAGCAAGTACTCATTAATGAACTGCCATCCACGAGACAGGAAGGTCTACCAGCAAGTCTCTGCTGCCTTCCACTAAACTATTTTATTAATAACTTGCAAGAAGATGCAGAAGGTTACTATATTCCTGTTCGCATCCAATATGTGCATGACAAGCACTGAGGAAGAATAACTAACCTATAGCATAAAACGGCCAGGATTTAAAAACCACAAAGAGTCAGAAAAATGGGTTCATTCTCCTATAATAGCTAAGGAATCAGTACCTGTGTCCAAAAATGTATCTATAACTTTGAGACGGGCAAGTAGTGGCTTAATTGCCACGTGTATTTTTAAAACCCAAGTTTAATGTCTTTATGGTGACAGCTAGTTTATTTCAGTGTGACAGCAGAGCTCAGTGTGATGAGAGGTGAGGCTCCGAAGGACTCATGTGACCCTAGCAGAAGCAGGAGCAGCACCTCAAAAACAAGGGTTGGTAACCATGTCCCACTCTAAGCAAACCAGACCACAGATGAGATACCACCAACCTTTCTAGGGGTCATGGGCAAATGTTCAGAGCAGAACAACCAGGATGCTGAAGAGTCCAGACACTATTAACACTAAAGAAGGGCAAAGGGGGTGGAGACTTGTAGATTTGCAAAACAATAGCTCAGAAGAAAATAATGGCTACCTTCCTTTAGTCATTCAATGAGCTCAAAATTGAAGCCTATGTCAGGAAAGGCTTCTTGATTATGAGAATGCCCAGAAATATAAGGACAAGACAGTCAACATCTGCAAGAAATCCCTGTGTATATTTAGATACTCAAATGTGAAGAGTTGTAACAGCCATGATTTTAAAAAAATTTTTTTTGTTTTATAGTATCTCAGAAGATACAAACAGGACTTGTGGAAAGAAGCTGGAAAGTAACAGATTTCAGTTCCTTATAAGGAAGAACATTTTAACAGTCGAGGCGAAGGGAGGAAAAGCTGTCTGCCTCTGAGAAGCCTGCAAGGTTCCTGTCAATAATGGTGTAGGAAGACGGGCCACCGCTAACATAAGACAGGCATTAAGCTGGACCACAGGTGACCCTCTTCCCGCTCCACACACGAAGTGGTCTTTCACTGGATTCATCTTATTTGGGTATTTCTGCAACCCCAGCTACCTACAGGGGGGTATTTCCAACCCGGAACCTGCTACCACCCAAGCGCCACTTTCTAATTGGGAAGAGGTCTGAGCACAACACAAATGAGGAATAGGAAGAAACTGACCCAATCACAGATGCCACACAAACACATTAGCACTGCTCCATGTGCCTCCGATTGGAAAAGAAAATGCAAGGCTCCTCTACCCGTTCATTCACGAACACAGCTGAAAACACTCAACGGTATTCAATTAGCGTAAATAAGAATTTCTCATACACTGCATTTCTGGTTGTGAGCCATTTTCTCCTAACAAAGACAAAATAAATTTAACTTAGGATCACTTGGAAAATCTGTGTCCTTCAATAAGCATTCCCAAACCTTCGATCTTCAGATTATTCGTAAACGAACTTCCCAATCTATTTCTAAAGAGAAACGTTTCATCAGATAGAGAGGACCAGATACCAGGCACTAATCAAATTGTGGCACTCTGATTAAATGGCTACTTAAATCTAATCTGTTTAAAAATCACAAGCAGAATAGATAGAAAGGTTCCAGGCCATTTAGTTTTGGCCACATTAAGATCATTTAAGCTTACCTTCCCTGCCTGACTACATCAACGCTGCCACTGGGTACTGGAGGAGTTTACCCTCCAAAACTGTTCCTTTTAACTTCGTGGAACAAACCCCCACACTTCAGCGCTGTCTTGGTTTTACAATACAACAAATGGGACACAGCTCGCTTTCCAAGGGCTGTTTCTCTTCCACGCGGTCAGAAAGACAAAAGTGAGGGAGAAAAAGAGCCCCCCCCCTCCCCGCCACGGAACCCCCGGCCCTGAAAGGAGCACTCCACACACACACCGCCCGGGCTCCCACCTCTCAACTCCCCAGCCGCCTGCCCGTTTCGGGCACCGCAGAAAAAGAGACTGGACTCCCGAGCCGGGCCCCGCTGCGGCAGGGACCCCACGCGCCCCCACCCGCCCCCCGCGATCTCCGTCCGCAGCCCGAGCCTCGGCGCCGCGGCCCAGGCGAGCGCGCAGCCCGGGACGGCAGGGGTCGCCGCCGCACTTACAGTGGCACCATCCTAGGTGACAGCACCAGTGCAGCTTGAAGCACTTGCCATGGCTGTGCGTGGCACAGATGGACAGCCCGTCGCACGGCTGGAAGTCGGGTCTGCGGGCGGCGCAGCTCCGCGCCAGGGCCTGCGCCTCGTCCACTTTCTCGCTCTTCCAGCCCCGCTCGGGCGCCGGCGCCGCGGCCGCACTCATGTCCGCTCCTGGCGCGCCGGGGCTACGGCCGGGGTCGAGGTCGGGGCCGGGGACGCGGCGTTCGGGCGGCAGCGCCGAGCGGCTGCAGACCAGGGAGGGCGCGGCGCGGGACGGAGTGAATGCCAGCGCGCGAGGCAGCGGCGGCAGCGGCGGCAACGGCGGGAGCGGACGGAGCGCAGCGTCCCGGGCTGCCCTGGAGCCGCCCCGGCGGGCGCTGCGAGGGGCGGGGCCTCCCCGCCTCCCTGCGCCCCGCCCTCCGGCCACTGCGCACGCGCACGCGCACCCGCGCCGCCCTCCGGCCCCGGGAGAGCCTGGCTGCTCACGCGCGTCCTGCGGGGGAGCGCGGGCTTAGCGCCTAGCGCCACAGCGCCTACCTCCAGCTCCCGGGTGGCTGCCGGTCCGACCCCGGCGGGAGGCCGCTCTGTCCGGCCTCACACGCACATGTCCCCCTCACACACACGCGTCCCTGCGAGGGAGGGGTGTCTGGACAAGTGACCCACGCGTGTGCGCCCGGGGAGAGAGGGCTGTGCACCTCGCGCACACGCGCGCCGCCTTCCCCGTGGGCCGCTCCGAGCGCGTCTCTGAGCGACGGTGTCACACGCGTACCTCTCTGAACACTCGTGGGGCAGAGGCCCCGGGGGCTGTTCTCCTGGGGGACTGGGCAGAGGCCACGCGGAAGCTCAGCGCCCCCCAGCCAGTGTGGGGGCTGGGAGCCGTGTGCGGTTGCGTGGTCTGTGTAGCGGAGTGTGTTTGGGGGGGTGCATAACACATTTAGTGTTCGACGAAGTGTGTACACACACTGCATGTGATACATATGACGTGTGTGTCTGTGTGTGTGTGTGTGTGTGTGGTTGCAGCGTGTGCACAGTCTCGGTGCACTGGGCATAAATGGCACGTGGGTGGCATCCCATGGCATGTGTACGGTCGTGTGTGACGTGGCGTGGTGAGACTGCCTGGTGAAGAGAGATCGAGTTTGGTCCACGCGTTGGCGCTCAGAGAAGACTCGAGGCTGTTTTCGCCGTATTACCCGCCACGCCGGCGGGTGTGACTGGGCCCAGGATGGCTGGCTGCAGCTCACCCACCCGGTAGGATTGATTGCTTTCTTCCCTCCTGGCCACCAGTTTCGCCAAATAGATTTTCCATGCCAGCTGGGTTCCGACCTCAGGCTGGATTCAGTGAGGAGAAAACAAAGCATCTGCTTCCAGAGAGCACTGCTGGGAATTGCTGTTTCCCTGCAGCTGGGCCAGAACCCAGCCTGGAACACACAACAAGGGGACACCCTTTTCTTGTTAGCCAAAGCCTTTCCAGAGCACAGGAAAAGGCCTATAATTACCGAGGTTCAGGGAACAACAAAGCCTTCAACCCAAATTCTGTGCTGGAACATGTGTACGCTCAGGTCCCTTTTTTTTCGTTGCTTTATTCTTTTTCTGCTTTGTGCAAACAGAACATTGATCCTGGTTTACAAGAACCAAAATGATCCTCAAGCCTTAAAAATTCTTGCTGCCTTAAGCAATCTTTTCTTCATTTTCCCTTTTATTTAACCTTGGTTTGAGAAGGGAAGTGTAATTTGCATATATCTGACTCTAGTGAAATCGTTATTTATTAGGGGCTGGGAAGAGATTCAATTTGGTGGCAAAGGTATTTTCAAGAAATGTCTAAGTCACTAGCTGGTCCTCATTAACCTAACACTGAAACAGTTGTAAACATGAGGAGTCATCTCTTCACTTTCCTCCCAGGTGCCACCCTCCCTAAATCCTAAAATTCATCGTTGACTCATAAAATCCACATTGTTAAATTTATATTCCATCCCACCTTAGATTAACATAAGCAAGAGAAAAATCAAAGGCATGCACATTGTTATTCCTGCATAAAGCCAATCAAGAATTTCTTAAACAAAGGGCGAATTCCATCTGTTCTCCCCTATTTTTCTTTTCCAACCTATCAACTGCCTGTACGACTGTCCATATCCTAGAAGACCTAATAAAAGAATCCCTCCAGGAAGACTTCCAACAGCACACTGCTATTGGCTTTTATTCCACGGTCAACCATGTTATAAGATTCCACTAAATATGAAACACACTATTGCAGCTAGTGAGAAATGAGCAAGAGAAAAATGTAATACAGCATTTTAGCCAAGAGGCAAACTAAGTCATATGATTTACATTAGTCTCATGATTGGATGCTAAGGAGTCTTTACTTTTTCTGTTCCTTGAAATCATTTCACCCTTTACCCTAAATAACTTCTACTCTCCTGCATGGAGCAGGAGGATGTAAACACAGTGACCTCTTGTATATACAGATGTGTTGTCAGGATAGACCTGCTCAAGATCTATTATGGAATCCCAACCTATTTAAAAGTAGAGAGAAATATGTAGCCAACCTTCATACTTATTACCTGGATTCAATAATTGTTAATTTGTTTAGAAAATCTCATTTTGTCCATAGCACTACCCACTCAACTCCCACCCTGCTACTGGGTTATTTTGAAGTAAATTCCAAACAATATAATTCCACTGAGAAATATTTCAGAGTGTATCTCTAAAGGAACTTTTAAAAAGCCATAATACACAATACCAATGTGGTGGTTATGTTTAATGTGTCAATGTGCTAGTCAAGTTGTCTGCTTCAGTAGCACTACACAGTTAAGGCTGGCCTTGAGCTCGCTTTGTAGCCCTGGCTGGTCTCCAACTTGCAACAATCCTCCTGCCTCAGCCTCCTGAGTATTACAGGAATGCGCCCCCATGCCTGGCTTCAGATTGAGATTTTTAGGAAAGGTTTGGGTTCAGGTTTCAGTTCCTCACTCTGCTGAAATTCCCCGGGGGCATCCCCACAGGACAGGTCACAGATGGTGGCTGGCTTTCTCCAAGCAAGCTTGTCTTTCAGAGAAACCAGGCATGGGGATGTGTCCCAGCAGTAGAATGCTTACTTAGTATGCCTGGGGCCAAGTTCGGCACCCAACACTGCAGGAAAAGTGTATCAAAATGGTTTATAACCTAATGTAGGTAGAGATTTCACATCACTTATGCCATCTTCTGTTGTTGGAGATAGACTACTAAGCCCAGCCCTGCACAAGGGTGCAGGTTATCCAAGGGCAGAAATAACAGAAGGCAGGAGTCACCAGGGGCCCTTTTAGATGCTGCCTGTTGCACCATGCACTAGCTGGTGGGAGACTAGCAAAGGTGGTGCTCACCAGCAAAGAAAGGGTTTGCCCTTTCTTTCTGCCCTGGGAACCTTGAGATCCACTATCCGTAAGCTTGAGCAAGCCTACTAGAGAATGAAGTGACTCTCAGGGAAAATGAAGGTACCCTATTGATGAATAGCCAGTCCTCAGTCAATGATCTGTCAAAAGCTAGACCTACCAGCTAATCACAGAAGCACATGGGAGTCCAGAAGAGATCTAGTGAGCCGGCCCCAAATAACCACAACAAAGAAATGCAGAAGAACAAGCAACACAAAATGGTCACTGTTTTAAACTACTGCATTTCAGTAGTTGTGTCTTATGTAGCAAAAGCTAACTGATACCTCCACCAATTCCCTAACTTAAAAAGAAGCAACTGAGGCCTCAAGAGGCTGTGAGACTTGTTCAACATCCCAGAGCACCAGGCTTGGAAGGAAAAAATCTCTTGGCATCAGAACAATGCCAGCTGTTCTAATCTCTGCCTTTTGCTGGCAGATCCTCATACTTTTAGAGATGCTGGTTCTCTGTCAACAACATAAACCACAGAAGTTTCTCTAGAACATCTTAGCGCTCACAGCTATGCGTTGTCCAGCTGGTTATAGAGCTAGGGTTAGAATTCTTTCAGTACCATTGTCCCTTGTGAATAGCCCAATATGCTGACCTATGCTCTGCTATATTTATCTGTTATTACTATCACTAGACACATGCACTTTTCCAAATACTTTGATAAACTGAGTTCTTGCAAATCAGTTAGTTTTTCGTTGCTCAGTTGAACCAAGCAACTAATTCCACCACAGTTATAAATAACCTGCTAGTAATTGGTCAATTAGTCACATTAAAGCAATTAGGGTGATGAAGTAGATGGAGCAGCTTCCAAATAAGGCACAACTAACTTCGAAGGCTTCTTTGAGGAGGGAGAAGGCCTCTCCAGCACGGCTGCTGGCATAATTCAGACTCATCTTTCACTCCAGGGTGGAGGAAAGCACAGCAGGTCTGGCACTGACACAGTCGATCAAAATTCAGCTCCACTGCCACTTCGCTGAGAAATCTTGGGCAAGTTATTGAGCCCCATTTCTTAAGTGAGAATGATAATTCCTACCTCGCGTGGTTGCCGTGCTCATTCAATATGATAATGTATGTGAAGAGCTGTCATGTTTCTGATGCACAATAAATATTAGTTCCCCTCTTCCTAGCAGCTCCAAATACCCTCCACGTGCACAGATTGTCTTTATCCCAACTTTAAAGTCTCCAGTCTGTGCTTGGGGGTGCTGGGAAGCAGTGTCTATATGACATAAATCCCATCATGTCACACCTAGGCTTAAAATCCTTTGATGTTTTCCTATTGCTAATTGTACAAAATGAAACTCCTTTGGAGGAAGAATACGTCTGACTTCCCTGGCTACACTTATAGTTCTGTGTGCCCTCAAATCAGTCATCTCCCTGGATTGTTTCTGGATGTGAACTGTCATTTTCTGCGGGCTTCTATGCCTCCTTCATTCTGTTCTCTTTGTCCTGAATTACCCAGTCCCTAATGCTGATGGGGAATTCTAGTCTGCATTAAGTTCTAGCTCAAACACAACCTAGAACCTTTTGCTACGTTAGTCTCTCCTGCATTTTTAAGGACCTGCCTAGTCTACAAGTTGGTCCCTCAAGTAATGAGGCAGTGATGTGTATTCCCAGTGGCTGGCATTGGCTGGGTGCCTCGGGAACACTCAACAAGCACTGATGAGTGAACACGCCAAAATATTTATGACACAAAGTTCTTAAATTGTATGGAAGGATAAAACATCAGCTTTTCCAGTCTCAGATCCTCAGAATGAATAGATTCCTTAGAAGCCTTTCTTTTAAAAATGGCTGAAATCTTACTAAATGTCTAACCTCTGTGGGGAACCCAGGCTGGAACGACTCCATATTCAAAGAGGTATTTTGCACATGGCCAGGATGGTGGAACTATAACAGTCTTTTCCTTTTAGTCACAGTCTTTTCCTAACTTTTTGATTCTGCACCAAGAAGGGCAGCTTTCCCAAAATAGACGCCATTGTAACCACCATAAAGGCAAAAGAGAAACCCATATGGGCCCTGAGCCAGCCCCAGCTGCATTTCTTATATAGAGAAAGGGGTGGACCACCTCCATACAATATTTTAAATTTGCCATTCTATTCTTCAGCTGCTCTATGACGAGGATATTGCAGTTTTGTACCAATTCACTATATCAACTTGAAATCTAGCTCTATCATTGAAAATAGTGGGAAAACAAGAGTCTGGGAAGGCTTTTGAACATTAGGAGGGCAGCAAAGTTGTCATTAACCTGACAAAAAATCTGGTCTCCGAGGCATCAATCCCTTTGGTGTTTACGGTCATCTGAACCAATAACCACTATGCTTCTCTTGATGCAAGAGGACGCTAACCGGCCAGGATGTGGGTCGATTTTGTGCTCCACACAACACAGCCTGCTTCTTTACGCTCTGACAGCCCAACCTATTTCTGAGAGCAGTGAACCTCTCATAATCTGGATTTAAGAACATGCTGGCTCTTTTTAATGGTGAGATACACTCATTCTTGCATTTTCATTTTTTATAAAATATCTTGGTTCTTCATGATAGGCAGTTAAAATAATTCAGCTTTAATTAGCTCATTTCAGTAAACGGCTAGAGGCTACAGTGCCAGGGAAGAACAGTCTGGAATACAATGGCTGATTCATGGGTAACGAATGAGGCAGCTGCGGTATAGCAGACTCTGGTCAGTGCTCTGTCCAGCCTTTGAGCACCCATGCAGAATTCAGCTTAGAATGCCTGGTGCATTTTCCATCTCCACCAGTGCCTTTAAATGTCCCTCTTGTGTCAGGCCGGGACAAGATGCTGGAGACAATTTTCGAGGGAAACATAAATCCATTCTACGAGTGTAAAAGGTAATTGTTTGGATTGAAGGAGTTTAAACTCAAGCTCAGTAGGAGAAGGAAGGACTCACATAGCTAGCTGCCTGGAGCCATTCAAACCCATTTCCTGGCAAAGATGAGTTAGCTCTGGCCCTGCAACCAGGCTGGGAAGGGGTTAACAGGAAGTGGACTTGGTAAGCAGGTGTCACGCAAAGATTATGAAAAGCCGTACAGAGTTTAGATCTAGTTCGCTAGACCAAGAAGTTTTGGTACCTTTTTCAGCCGGAGCCCTTTGTACAGTGAAGATGCTTCCCAGAAACAAATTCAGGTCTATAAAGTCCAGCAGCTCGGGGGAGGCTGGTGTGTGCTGGTGAGCAATGCTAGAATCACATTTGTTTGTTGTCTGCACAACACCAGAGCAAAGCCACTGACTGCTCCACCAGGTGGGAAGCTGCGGTCGGCAGTCTCTTGGGGATCCCCAGTGGTCACCACCTTTTGGTAACCACAGGATGTGTACCCTCCCCCATGGCTGGCCACGTCTTCCTCTCCTCTACCCCCTTTTGACTGCCACCCTATGGAGAGGCCCAGTGGCCTACAACCAATGGTTAGATGCCTCGTATCACCAATACCTTTATTTTCTCTTATTTTGTCTTTTCTGTGGTTGGTGGGAGGGACGTCGTTGTTTCCTCCTTACTCATTGTATGTGCTTCTTCCTGACGTGACCTCTTAAAACCCTAGCTCCCCTTTCCTACTTTCACTCATGATATGAGCAACCTTCTCTTCTTTCCTCCCAGTTCAATTCATAAAAAATGAAGGTTTGTGTCAGATACCACCTCAGCAGCCACTTGCATAGGAGGGCAGGAAGTCACATGATGCTAGAGCCACCAGAAACCATGCTGGAGGGGGGCACAGGCGACACCATAACATTCCTGCCTGTATAATATGGGCGTGAATGTGTGTCCACTAGAGTCTGAAAGCTGGGAGTCCTCAGGGCAGATCAGAAGTGTGATGCCGTTATTTTAAAAGTTAGTATTTGTGGGGGTAGAGGGTGAGTACCAGGGATCCAACTCACAACCTCATGCTTGTCAGGCAGGCTCTTGTGCCGCTGGGCTACACCCCCAGCCCCATTAAAAGTTAGTATTAAATGAGTTGCCAGAATATGACACGCAACAAATACAGAGTCAGAGCTTCTTCCAGGAGTCCCTTTCCATTTATTCATCTCCCAATGTATTAGCACAAAGAATCATGAACATAGCACCAGGGTCACGTCCATGATGGCTGCACTGGGTTCTCTAGACAGCTGCATATCTGGAAAATGAACCCTTGCTTAACTTAGTCTCAGGGACAAACATAAGGCTTCTCTCTCTGCTGCTTATTCCCTCTTGGCCTGGGTGTAACGCTGTCGGAACTGGGGGACTCCTTTTTGACTCTAGTCCAGAGCAGAGCTAGTTCACCTGGGCCTTCTCCTAATCCCTCACTCCCCCAGGGAGCTGCTGTCAGGAGGCTTTCACGGTCCACTTCCTACAGAGAACTCAGCCCCAGCGACAGCTGTTGTGATTTCTGGGAGGCTCAGCTGAGCACTGGCTGCCCCCCTCCCACCCCCCTCCCCACCCCTGGGCACCCAGATGCATTTGTCCTTGTTTGGAAGCTGAAGGTGTAAATAGCTTTGAAAGTGACTGAGAGGTCTGTGGGTTCCCTAACTGACAAAACTGGTTAAGTCAAAACCCCTTTTATCATTTAGGAAAATGAGGTCACAGAAGGGTGATGAGGGGTTGCTTGCTGAAGGTTATCCAACTAGTCCTTCATTCTTCACTCCTTGGGGAGAAGAAAATAGAAGGAAAAGGGTCACTGCTGTCCTACCCTAGAGGTGTGGAAAGGAACTGCTTATGCTTTCATGCATTTTTAATCTTAAGTACTTCCTTTCAGTCCCTACACATTGCTGGGTACTAGTGTGATGTTTTGTGGCACAATGTTACAGGCAAGGATCCAGCCGTGTCCTAACTCTGTATGCCCTCTCCCTTGCCCAATTGGGCTCTAAAGAAGCCAAGCACAGTAAATATGATGGACTGTGAGACCCTTACCATTTCATGAAGATGGCCCAGGCACCCTGTCCCAAAGCAGAGCTCTTCAGTGACAAAATAAGTGAGGCTCCCTAACTCCAGAATCTCACTGTTTCCTGAACCCTAAACCAAGAGGAATTATGGCTGGGACTGCACGGTGGGCTTTGGAATATTTCATATTTTAGAGAAAAAATGGAAAATTAGGGAGGTCTAATCTACCTTGAAATGATACAGGAAGACAAGTAAGGAGCACATAGGTTCACACCCTTTAGGAAATGTAAAGGATGTTACTGTTAGTTACCTGATGTTGTGTTACAAATCACTCCAGAGCTCAAAGGTAATAACCATGTATTATCTCTTGCAGATTCTGTGGCTTGGGAAGGCAGACAGTGTTGTGTAGATGGTTCTTCTGTGCTCCATATTATCTGGATTGTCAGCTGGAAAACTCAAAGGCCAAGGACTGGATTCATTTGATGAAAATTCACTCGCGTGGTGGTCAGCTGTTGGCCAGCTCAGTGACGTGTGGCCCCGCCTTGTGATTCTCTCAAAACGCAGTAACCATCTTGAGAGAAAGCCAAGTGGAAGTTATATTAAAGTTCCTAAAAAAATAAAAATATAAACCTCATGACCAACCTCAGGAGTGATGGAGCATGAATGACTTCTAGATCCTATTAGCTTGGGCAGTGACTAAGTCTGCCTGGGACCAGAGGAGATGACAGGGCCCACGGCAATATCACATTGTAAGAAGGGCATGGCAGATGGGGCAGTCTAAGAACACACAGTCACACAGCCAGTCCACACTGTGTAGAGGTAGAATTGAATGCCTAAGATTGGGAAAGGTTACAAGGACAGGATTTTTGCTTGTGCCAGTGGGTCAAATACTAGTTCTTGAAGGCAGTGGGTCAAATACCAGTTCTTGAAGGCAATTTTTTTTGTGATTTTTTTTCCTAGTTAGAAACACAGAAGTCAGGTTGAGGTCAAAGATCCTTCCCCACCCCTGACTCAGAGATCAGCCCACAAGACCAAAGCTTCTCCTTTAGCCCAACTCTCAGCAGCAATGCCACTTCCCTCTGAGTATTCCTTTGGAAGGAACTAGGAGTTTTATACTTTCTATTTAAAAAGAAAACCCCTGGCAAACAACTTATTGCTAACATTTGTTAAAAGCGTACACTGGGCCAAGTGCTAACTTAAATGCTCACATCAGCTTACACAGTTTTCCCAAAAATACCCTATGAAGTAGGATCTCTTTCTAACCACCTCTACTTTGCATATAAAGAAGCTGAAGGTACAAGGAAATTGAGCAACTCAAGATAGCAGAGCTGGCCAGACCTGAAGCTGGGATTCAAACTCAAGCGAAAAGCTTGAATGAGACAGCTTCCCATCTCTGACAAAACAGCTGAGATAATCAGCTTCAAGGAAGGAAAGGATTCTTTTGGCTCACAGTTTCAGAACTGATAGCCATGCTTGGTGGAGGAGGACTGTTTCTCTAAGGCCAGCAAACAAAAAGAAAAGGAAAGGAAAGATTCCTTCAGTTCTTTATATACAGAGTGGAGGTGGTTAGGAAGAGATCCTACTTTACAGCAGAATCAGACGGGGAACCAAGCCTTGAACATACGGCACATACTGACTCAAACTGTAGCACAGCCTAACTCTGGAGTCAAGGATCTGAACCACTGTGTTACCACCTGGGGGAACCACATGCAGACCAGTTGTGGAAGGAAAAGATCATTCAGAACACCTTTATTAATTAAAAATAAATGGGCGTATGAACTAAAAGTCTACTGAAAATACTTAGTGAGGGAAATAGTAGTAAGTCAAGGAAAAAGGAGTTAGAAGATACATGGGCCAAAGGTGTAGCCCAGCGGGGAAGCTCTTGCCTATCATGCACAAGGCCCTAGGTTCAATTCCCAGCGTGAAGAAGACAGAAGACCAGCTTGGTACAGTATACTGAAAAAGTAATTTTTTATAAAAGACTATAAGACTGGAAGAAAGAAAAAAATTAATAAATTTAGAAATAAAAACAAGGATTTGGCATTTGAAAGAATACTATTATTGTGTAGAGACAAGTACATGTTGATAGGCAGATGGGCACTTACTTATAAAAAATATACAGCACTATGGCAGATCAAGTAACTGGAGATAAGAAGAAGCTCTTTCCATGACAAAAGCCTGGTCCTTTGGGATGAGCTTATGAAACATTTCCAAATTTTCAAAAAACAAAAAACCCTATTCTGCAAACTTCAAATGTATGTGAATGTACATAGAGACACCCAACTTATTTTATGAAGGAAAAATGATTAATTTCAGAATCTGAAGGAGAAATTTGTTAGCTTTTGTTGTGACCAAATACCTGAGAAAAACAACTGAAAAAGAGAAGTGTATGTTGGCTCACATATTCTGAGGTGTCAGTCCATGACTGGTTCACTGCAGGGCTTTTGACAGTAGTGGGGAGGAACATGGTGGAGGACAGCCAGAAGGAGAGAGAGAGGGAGAGAGCGCCAGCAGACAAAATGTACCCTTAGAAGCAGCCTCTGGTGACTTGCTTCCTTCAGGTAGGCCTCACTCCTATAGTTTCCCTGCTCCTAATGGCACCGTCAGCTGAGAAACAAGCTTTCTTTTTTTTTTTTTTTTTTTCAATCGGTACCAGGGATTAAACTCACGACTGCCTGCTTGCAAGGCAGGCGCTTATGCTGCTGAGCTAAATCCCCAGCCCGAGAAACAAGCTTTTAATATGTGAACTTTTGGGGGACATTTAAGGTCCACACCATAACAAGAATCAAATCACATCATAAGCCAATCTTATTTATGAACACACATGTTAAGATTTTTATCTTAGCAAGAGGACAGAAAAATACATGCACTATTCTGTGTACTTTATTCTAGAACCACAAAGTGGTTACAAAGAAGAAAAACTCACACAGCAATCATATTATGGGGGAAATTATAATATGTATATTTTTTATTTACATATGGGTAACTATCCAAAGAGATTTTAAATAAGATATTTGGTAATGTTTTAAAAACCTTAAAATCAGGTGTTGGTAATTTAGTGATTATTGGTAATTTAGTGACTGTTTTTTGTCACATGGGATGTACTACAATAATTCACAGTGTGTCAATCAGGTTTCCAGAACTGTTACAAACTGCCTGAGATACTCATTTTAGGAAGACAAAAGTTTTTATTCTGGTAACAGGTGCAGTTCAAGGTCAGCTGGTCCAATGGCTTTTAGGCCTTTGACACCATAGCATATCATGGTGGGCGTGTGTCACAGAAGAAGCAGTTCCCACACGCCAACAAAGAAGCACAGAAAGATAAAAGGACTAGACCACCAATGGACTAGTGCCCAATGACCTGACTTCCTCTAATCACGCTCCGCCCCTTAAAGGTCCCATCACCTCCCATGGTGCCGCAGCTGAGACCAAGCCTTCAACATGTGAGCTTTTGGGGGATATTTCAGATAACAACTATAGCAGCCAGAAAGTTAGATAGCTTGGTCTGCATTGTTCAAACCAATTGCCTCATATAAAGGATATCATTACTCCTCGGGTAGGGATAGGAGGGGCAGGGGGCCTGGGACCAGGGAAAACATTAGCACCTTGGGGTGAGGACCCTCTTGAATCAGCTCTAAGACTGTGGCACTTAGAGCTGATTCAAGAGACTCAGGTGTATCAAACACTTTTACAATGCCCAGGAAACAAGGTAGAAGCCTTTTCTTCTACATGTCCAATGTCCTTGCTTTTCTTTCTTTTCCTTAGTTTCATTTGATCTGTCTTCAAATTGTTTTTATCTATAGCCTTTCAAAGAGGAAAGTAAGCAGGTGACATTAACTATATTGGGCTTCTGGTCAAAGCACGAAAGAGTATGAATTGAAAGCAAAGAATCCCTTTTATTCTTAAAGAAGAAACACACTGTTTTTTTCAATTCAGTTTGCATTCTAGAATCTAATTCTAGAACTGTTTTCAATAACTATTCAGGATAAGAAAATATTGTTTATAAATATTAGAAAGGAAGAAAGCAAAGTATCTGTTTTGCAGATGACATGATTGCAGACCTAGACTCAACTAAAAATGACTAAAAGTAAAGATTCCAGATGCAGAATTTCTAAACTGCAAAAATTCAGTTGTTTAGGGTCTGGGAGTTTAGCTCAGCGGCGTAAGCACCTGCCTTGCAAGCAGGCAGTCATGAGTTCAATCCCTGGTACCGATAAAAAGGAAAAAGACAAAAAAAAAAAAATTCAGTCGTTTGTACGTATTATATATTGAACATGTGTAGACTAGGTTTTTGCATGCGTGTGTGTGTGTGTGTGTGTGTACATATATGGCATTATTTGTAGCAATATAAAGTGGAAATAAAAACATTCATTGTTTACATTTCAATAAAAACAGTTTAAACACAAAGGTATTGATTTAACTTCTAATGAACACTATTTGAGAAATTATACAGGGCTGTTAATAAATTGTTATACCTGATTAGAAAAATAAATACAATAATTCTTTTTACTAACACTAACATGTAGGTTTACTCATTAAAATCACAGTAAGTTAATTTTAAGTTATTGATAAGTTAATTTCTTACCAGGTGCAGTGGTGCATACCTGTAATCCCAGTACTCAAGAGGCTGAGGCAGGAGGATTTTCATAAGTTCCAGGCCAGCATGGGCTACATTGTGAGTTCAGGGCCAGTCTGGACTACGTAACAAGGTCTTGTTTCAGATCCCCCCACAAAAGTTAATTTTTTATTTCCAACAAAAAAATTGGATTCTTCTTGTAAAATAACAAGAATACCAAAGACATTTATTTTTAAAAGATATAAAATTTGGGCATGTAATCCTATTAATCCCAGTACTCTGGAAGGCTGAGGCAGGAGACTCACAAGTTTGAGTCCAGCCCAGACAACTCAATAACTCAGTGACCCAGCTCAACTAAAAGAGACTGGGGAGGTGCTAAGTTCAAAGTTCAGTACTAGAAAAAAATTACTAGTTGACCTTTTTGTATTTTTTTACAATTAAATTTAAAAATATATTACAAAGTGATAATTATAAAAGCAATGGAGTATTAAGGTGAAAACAGAATAAAGTTATTGAGTCAAGACTAAAAAGAAATTTAACATGAATTCAACACTGGGAGCTTAAAATATGATGAGTCAGGAGCTGAGCAGGTGAGGAAAGACGCTAAACACTATTGAGATAATTAGACACTGGTATAGGGAGTATTTACATAAGTAGTAATTAGGAATAATACTCGGAATTTGATTTTCTTTGGAAAGTCTTAACATTCTTAAGTCTCCTTTTTTTCCTTATTGGTAAAATGGGACCCATAATGCCTATCTGGAGGGTAGTTTTGAGGAAAAATGAACACAATGTATGGAAAGCACTTAGCACTATACCAGAAACATAATAAACAGTTACGATCCTGAGTCACTGTGTTAAATATAAACATCATGTAAATATAAACAAACAAACTGGTTAAATGACCTAGCAGAAAAACATTTCTGTCCCAGTAGGGGAGAGGAAACAAGTTTCTGATCATAGAAGCATGAAGGATAGTATCACAGACAAAATGAATTTTCAAAGCCTTTAAAAACAAAGTGAAGCAACTCCTGAACAAAATTGGGTGTGGATGGTGAACACCAG